GCGTTCGTGGCGCCGCATCTTGGAGGAGTTGGAAGTATTAACGCAGTTGCACACGGAACCATGTCGCACAATTTGGATGATGGGTTTGCCATCGAGCGGGAAAAGGGAGACTTTTGGGGGAAATCAGGGAGCATGGATATCCTCATGGGCATGGGCATAGACATTGGTGACATGGTGAATTCGAATGGGCTGGCAATCTGGTATGCAAGGAGAAAACTGCCATTGACAACCAGGTTTTAAAGCAACTACGAAAACGAACGAGAGATGTATCAAGGCAGCATTTACTGCATAGAAGCATGAGTTCAATGATGGTTATGAGATTGATCTTTGAATTTGGAGTATTACTTTAGACCAGCTCTGTATGCTAGCACGTGACGTGGCACGAGTTCTGGATAGAGCAGTTAGAGGGACTGATAAAGTGGAAGAAGCCTAGCACGAGAGCCTAGCCCCGGCGTTTCGCGCTGAGATTACGAGTGCACGGGGGCAGTAGTCAATTGAAGTAGCCAGCTAGGTGCCCCTAAGTCGATTAACTAACCCGGAGGGGCTGGCGCGGGGCGTAGGCGAGGGTTCCCAGTGCTTGGGCCAGGAAATCTGTTGAATCCCCAGCCATCCCAGTGGCGGTCCGGGCCCGGGTGTCAGGCCCACAGCCTATCACAACCCCATAGATCCGCCAACTTAATGAATATTGGACGCCGCTGACGATCGTGGATGCCCCGAGAACAGGTTCCTGGCCAGATTCCAACCACCTAACCACGATCAGGCAGTGGGCCGGGCTTGCAAAGTGGGATGCAACAACGGCCACCGACGCCGCCGGCTGCCAATTCCCATCAAGAATTCGATTGCGCCGATCGTCATCACTGCCAAACAGAGCGCATCTGTGCGACTTGGAAATTTTCTGTTCCTTTCATTCCTTTCGAGAGGCAGACCGTCTGTCGCTCCTCTTGCTATCCGTCTGGGACACCCAAGCAGTTGCAGGTCTCCACGTCCATCGTTGTCATCTCGTTCGTTTCTCTGCCCGCTGAGAACTGCAGTCCTCACTTCTCTCCAGATCTTCCACCGCGAGTGCTGATCTGCATTCCACCTGTTCCTAGCATACTACACAACTGGAACCGCACTCGCAAGGATGGTTGTTGTAGATCACCATGAGTATCTCTGTGAAGAAGAGAAGCGGCTGAAAGAGGACCGCGAGCGCACGAAATACTGGAAGAAATGGGGCCCTTACGTGGCTGAACGTCAATGGGCCACCGTACGGGAGGACTACTCGGACAATGGCGACGCCTGGAGTCATTTCTCTCACGATCAAGCCAGATCCAGAGCCTATCGTTGGGGTGAAGACGGTATTGCTGGAGTGTCGGATACTCATGGACTACAGAACGTCGCCTTCGCCTTTTGGAATGAGAAGGACGACTTTTTGAAGGAGAGGCTCTTCGGCCTGAGCAACCCTCAGGGCAACCATGGTGAAAGTCTCAAGGAGGCGCACTTCCATTTGGACAATGTGCCTACGCATTGTGAGTTGCGACTGTGGCAAACTCGAGCAACACTCAGCTGACTTCTCCTCAGCATACATGAAATACCTCTACAAGCTCCCCCAGAGACGATTTCCCTACGAACAGTTGATCCAAGAAAATGCGAAACGTGGTAAGCTTGAGCGCGAGTTCAATATTATCGACTCGGACGCTTTCAAAGACAATCGCTACTTTGACATCTTTATCGAGACTGCTAAAGAGACGGACGACCCTGAAGAGTTGCTGTTCCGAGTCACTGCGTACAACCGGGGTCCGGAACCTGCTCCTTTGCATATCATCCCTCACATGTGGTTCCGGAACACATGGTCTTGGGGCCATGAACCTGAAAAGCTCAAACCCAATATCCGCATGGTGGGACCAATGACTGCGCAATCCAAACACCACAAGCTGGGCCATCGCTTCTTCCAGCTGTCTCCATCACCAGGTTGTGGCCCGGATGCTGATGACGTCCATCCACAACTCATGTTCACAGAAAATGACACCAATCTTCAAAAGCTCTACGGCGTCAAGAACAAGCAACCATATGTCAAGGACGCTTTCCACCGGTGGATCGTCGACGAGGAGAAGGGAGCCATTAATCCTCGCTGCTCGGGCACCAAATGCGCTGCGTGGTATGATTTTGGGCAAGGCGACGGGGTCCCTCCTGGAGAGTGCGCTGTCGTCAGGTTCCGTCTGTCGCGTAAATACGATGGCTACCTCAACGAAGAGCTTTTGGACGACATCATCGAACAACGACGACAAGAAGCCGACGAATTCTACTACAGAATTAGCCCTCTTCCGATGGCAGAGGATTTGAGAAATATCCAGCGCCAGGCTCTTGCCGGCATGCTCTGGTGCAAACAGCACTATTACTTCATCTGGGACCAGTGGGCGAACGGCGACCCCAATATGCCACCTCCCCCAGAGAATCGCAAGAATATCCGGAATCAGCATTGGAAGCATATGTACCTCGACGACATTCTTTCGATGCCGGACTCGTGGGAGTATCCGTTTTTCGCGGCGTGGGACTCGGCTTTCCATTGCATTCCTCTTGCCATGGTCGATCCGGAGTTTGCGAAGAAACAACTTGATCTATTCACTCGCGAATGGTACATGCACCCCAATGGACAGTTACCGGCCTATGAGTGGAATTTCGGCGATGTCAACCCACCTGTCCACGCATGGTCCGTTTTTCGGACCTTCAAGATTGAACGAAAGATGTATGGGAGACAGGATCTGGATTTCCTCGAACGCGTTTTCCAGAAATTACTGCTCAATTTTACCTGGTGGGTCAACCGCAAGGATTATGAAGGCAAGAATGTGTTTGAAGGGGGTTTCCTAGGGCTCGACAACATTGGTCTGTTCAACCGCTCTGAGCCTTTGCCGACCGGCGGAGTTCTGGAGCAAGCCGACAGCACAGGGTGGATGGCATTCTACTGCCTCTGCATGTTAAATATCGCACTGGAACTTGCCAAGCACAGACGGACGTACGAGGACATTGCATCGAAATTCTTTGAACACTTTCTTCTGATCTCAGACGCCATGAGCTTCCGGGCCGGAGGCACAGATCAGAGTCTGTGGAACGAGGAGGACGGGTTCTACTACGACGCCATATCTTGGGGCGGACCATGGACCCAGCAAATGCGTGTACGGTCTCTCGTAGGCCTCATCCCTTTGTACGCTGTCCTGACCTTGGAACCGGAGCTGATCAACAAGTTCCCCAATTTCAAACGGAGGATGGACTGGTTCATTGAGAATCGCCATGACGTTGCGGAGCGCAACATTGCCTCGATGCGCAAAAGAGGCAAAGATGAGCGTCTCCTCCTATCTCTGGTTAGCAAGGAGCGGCTAGAGAAGATCTTGAAGAGGATGCTCGACGAGACAGAGTTCCTCTCTGAGCACGGGATCCGCAGCTTGTCCAAGTATCACAAAGACCACCCCGTGAGCATGGATGTCAACGGCCAACAGTTCAAGGTCAGTTACGTACCGGGTGACTCTGATTCTGGCCTCTTTGGTGGCAACTCCAACTGGCGCGGCCCAATCTGGATTGCTGTGAATTTCCTGCTTGTCGAGTCTCTGTTGCGGTTCTACATGTTCTATGGCACCTCCCTCCAGATTGAGTGCCCGACTGGCTCGGGCGAATACATGCATCTCGGTCACGTGGCCGAGGAGATCCAACATCGGCTTCAGCATCTCATGGTGCGTGACAGTGAAGGCCGTCGCGCCATTAATGCGGGCAACGACACGCTCGATTTCGACCCGCACTGGAAGGACTACCTTTGGTTCTTTGAGTTCTTCGACGGTGATAGTGGACGAGGTCTTGGTGCGAGCCATCAATGCGGGTGGACTGGGCTCATGGCAAAGATGATTCACGACACAGGGATCAACTGTCGTCTACCGCAGACTCCTCGTACACCTTCGACTGCCGCGGCACACTACTTTGATGACGTTCTTTCAAGTGGGCTTAGCCGGAAAGGTACCTTTGTTGGCACACCCAATCCGATGCGGCGTTCTTCGACTTCGCGCTCGATTGGCAACCGCAGCTCCTTTGTCTCTGTCACCAACGGCGACCACTCGAGTAGAGGCAACGCGACACCGGCTATTATCCATGATGTGGACAGTCCGACTTCGTATTTTGAAGGCGCCGAACCCGCGGTGACGGATTCGGATGCGTGGGGAAAAGAGGACAAACTGGAGAAAGAGCGGCGAAAGAGCATTGCGGACAGTCATTACGACAGATACGTCAATGAGCAGTTGACCAAGATTAAAACGGACGAGAGCACGGCAGTGTATGAGGATGAGTTTGAGGCTCAGCTTGATTAGTTGAGTTTGACAGTGAGGGATTCTGGGTAGAATTCAGTGGCGCCAAAGACCATAAGATGCTGGATGAGACAATAATAGAGGCAGGCTGGCATATGCGCTGTATACTAGATGTCTTGGGCGTGTGGGCTTTTGTTGTTGGAGCATGGATACAGCATGGATACAGCATGGCTAGAGCGTCTTGTACATACAATACGTGCATCTGAGCAGGCATTTGTGGATAAATATATAAAACGTCAATCCGGGTTACTCGTTGCTTCTTCTCGATATCATTCCCGAGTATATATACACTCGTACACACACACACACACACAGAGAGAGAGAGAGAGAGAGAGAGAGAGAGAGAGAGAGAGAGAGAGAGAGAGAGAGAGAGTGTGTGTGTGTGTGTGTGTGTGTATGTGTAGATAGAGCGAGGCAGCCCAGCTCAGCTCAGCCTCATACACGCGAATAGATCATTCCAGGTAGGTAGTAGGTACCGTGTACAATGCAATGTAAAGTAGGAATATGTACATAACATGACATGGTCCATTCTCTACGCTGTTATCGGATTCATTCATCTATTACTTGGTTAGTTGGCTACTTGGTATGTAAATTTCTTGTCTGATCCTGGATCCTGGTCTGTTGTCCTTTGGCTCGTAATCCGTCTCGCACCATATACCATATACCGTATACCAGTTAAGAAACGTGTCCTCCACTACCGCCTCCCTCTCCCCCTACCCCGCCGTCTCCAGCCAAAGACAAAGACATGGATAGTGGGACATGGACGTGGACACCGTGCCGAGCGGCTGGATCTGGATCTGGATGCACGGGGTTTTCTTCCGAGGATCGTCTCTCTTCGGGCGACAAGGTCGTACTGGTGGTGGTGATAGTAGTGGCGTGACTGTCACAGACGGGGGTGTCGACTCGGTCGATGAAAGCTGGAGAGGTGGTCGAGGTGGAAGGAACCTCGCCAACAGTAACGTGGGGTAGGGTGATTTTTTCAAAGACTCGGTTTCCTATACTAGTGCCGGTGCCCGTACCCGTGCCAGAGTCGACGAGGATGACTCGACTGTGATGATCGTGCTTGAGGGCGTGGTCGCGAGCGTGAGTATGGGTGGAGTAGTACTCGGCAAAGACGCTCTCAATGCCCGTGTTGCTGGGTCCCTTGTGGCCGCAGCACGGCCGCCCTGCGCCAGCGCGGTCGGGTTCCAACAGGGCAGCGACCAGGCCGGCCACGCTGAGGCGGGCCTGCATGTTGCGCGTCTTCCTGGGCTGGCTCGCCAGGGCGACCCCGGCGAGACAAATGCCGAGAAGCGCATACAGCAGGTTTGCGACGATGAGGCTGAAGAAGGGGGCCTTGGGGAGTCGTGCGACCAGGCGGGTCTGCCGCGTCTGCTCGGCGCCGTTGAGCCTTTCCACCGTGATGCCGGCGATCATGCTCAGCGCAGACCGGCTGAACTGCTGGGAAAAGTAGTCGGCAAAGGCCTGGGACGTGTTGACCTGCTGGGCGCCGCTGAAAAAGGCCGACTCGAGCGAGTTCTGGACTAGCGCCCGACTCTGCAACAGAGTCCAGCCCACATTGTTGGACAAGGTCTCGTTGGCGGCCGTGTAGTTCCCGTCCACGACGGTGCCGCCGTCGATGGAGACGTACTCCAACTCGTAGACGGTCGAGGTACACTCAAAGATGAAGGCGTAGTTGTATTGCTCGTCGTCCTCGACGGCTTGGGGGTCCTTGGATAGAGCGTCGGAAGTGGCCACTCGACCACCAACGGAGAAGAAGAATGGATTCGGAGTCGCCATCTGCTGATCCGGGGTGCCAATGGGGTCCTCGAACCCTCGCTGCCGGAACATCTGGAGGAAGAAGCCGATGTTGCTGCTTGTCCCGGACGAGCTGCCATTACTCGACGTGAAGGTCGACCCGGTGTTGTTGTTGAGGTCCCCGTAGAGATTGGAACTGCAGTTGTACGCCATTCCGAGCGCCATCTGCACCAGTCCCAGAGGACAGCCGTTCTCAAAGGGGCAATACTGGATCTGCTGGAGCTGACACGCCTCGCTGGCCGGAGAACACGTGGTGCTCATGGCGTAGGTCCGTGCCCGATAATCGAGATTGGGATCGCGCTGTGCAGAGGTCAGAAAGGCGAAATGCTTCTCGTCGATGGTACTGGCCAAAACGGTATTGACCGTGGACAGATTCATCGAGGTCCGCGTCGCCTCGGAAGCGCTGTCAAAGTGAATCGACCCCGGTAGTTGCAGGCCGCCGATACATTGGTTGATGTCCCCGGGCGTCCAAGTTTGGTTGTAGCAGAGGGGAATGAGGCCACGGCCGTAGCTTGCGGCGGGCGTAGAAGCGGGCGGTGAGAGGGTGTCCAGGTTCACCGTGGTCGTTGTGACATGAAGCCACGTATCGACCCCGACGATGGCGATGCTGTCCGCTCAAGTTAGCCAGCGCGCACACGTCTTGGTTTGTTAATATAGTAACCTACCTCAACAGAGTTGCTGTCCACAGACCCGCGACGGCCATCCACAATAGTCTGATCTGTTTGTTTCGCCCTTTCCAGAAACAATACTGTATCCAGGACCACAACGGCCCGAAGCCTCCTTCAAGCAGACCTATGATCAACTTGAGCTGATAGACCGTTGGGAGAGATTCGACCTGTCCCAAGTTTGATCTCCTCATATACTCCTTCGCAAGCGGGTAGGAGATCAGGACCATGACAAACGCAGACGTCAGTGACGTGGCAGTACTTGTCCAGGACGAAACCGTAGCTAGTCGTGTGGCACTGTAATCAACGTAGTATGCTGAGCTGTCCCGGATGGACGCGATTCCAAGCAAGTTCTCAAAGGCCTCAGGCGTGTTGGAAACCTCATAGCGATAGACCAGGTAGACGAAGATGGCCGTCAATACAAGCATGGGAAGGCTGACGAATGTAAGGGCCCAAATGATGTCGGAAATCGCTCCTTCGACTCTGTGTACAGGCCTGTCCGATGGTCGCGTCTTTGCATCCTGAGCCTGTGCGTGATGAGACTCTCGCCATCGTTCAGTACCCTCCTTCAACCGATTCTGATGTTCTTGGTCTTGTGTAGTCTGGGAGTCACCCTCCTGGCTTTGTCGTAGCAGTGGCGCCGAGACTTGGGATGCCATAATGGAGTGGAATGCTTTCACCAATGGGGTCGCCAATCTCCTGCCTCGAATTCAGGCCTCGCGCATCGCAGAAGAGGAAGCAAATAGCTATTACTTGTGAGCCAGTCGCCCGTTGATCAAGGTTGAAACATCGAGAAATGAATGTTGAGGTCATTATGTAGCGTAGGGATGCTCGAGGCATCGAGGTAGCCTGGACGTCGGACAGGGGACTTCTGATAGCTACTCGTGGGCTGAAGTTGCAGCTAGGAGCATAGCCAGCCCTAGCTGCTGCGAGCAGGCTGTGTCGACAAATCCTTGAAGCGTCGTGCATCGTCTGGCTAGCCAAGGGTTTCACCAACGGCTCTGTCCCCAGGCACGGATGATCTGTTACACCAACTCTTGCCGGCCGTAACCTCGCCAAACAGCTCGGCCTGGATGTGACCCCTGGTCAAATGGCGATCAGGCAGCCCGAGGGCGAGGGGGCCAAATCTGCTTGGCTGCGAACTAGTACAAGGTACACATCGTCGGCTGTCCAAGGGATTTGATGGCCTTGTGATTCTCCCGTGGAAAGGTTCGTAAGCTGGTCGATACTCTCTGCGGAGGCCAGAAGAGAACTGGTCATGTTCGTTTCTCAAATCATTGACGGCGATATGGAATTGGCCTCGGGATACATCCGTCGATACAGGGTTTGAGGAGGCTGCGCTATCCTCGCATTTTCTGACTTACTCGTGGAGGCCTCTCCTCTCCGTCTAGCATACTTGAGGCTGTGGTCTGTTAGTCAATATGTCAATCGCCTCACCATCGGTGCCTAACGTAAGGAAGGGAGGGTGGGATGGCGTTAGTGAGAAAAATTGAGAAGTTGAGCAGCGAAGCTAAATCCTCGACCTGGTCTGCATATGGGTACGCTTCGGCAGATCCCTAGATACATCAGAAATTGAGAGATGTTCAATGTGGTCAGGACGAAAGAACTGGATTGGTTATATACATGACCGCCGCTACTGCCTGTCTAGTGTTTTCCATTCTCACCCTCGAGGTGCTATTGTCATCAACCCCCCAAGGGTGCTCTTTTCACCAGTCACACCCTTGACTTTGTTTCACATTCCCCAAAATTCCATTCATGGAGGATGGTCTTACACGGTCTCGTTGAGCAGCTTGTTCAATCGGGAAATCTTGCTGGACACGCTCAGGTCAATGGTTCGCTCGCCAATCTCGACCACGAGTCCGCCGAGGATATCTGGGTTGACTTTTGTGACCACCTTCAGCTTCTTGCCTTGGCTGTATTCGGATTTCGCGATAGCGGCTTCGAGACGGCGAAGGAGTTTGTCATCGAGTTTCTGTCAGCCAACAAAGTTAGTTCCGAACGGTGTTTTGGGGTCTGGGCATTGCCATGATATATGAATGCAGTGCGTGTACGTACCGAGGCGCTGGTCACAATCAATTCCATCTCTCCTCTTGCTGCACTCATCAGGGTGCCAAACTTCTCACAGACGCCCTCGAGCAAGCTCAGCCGGTTGTTCTCCGCGAGGGTTTGCAGGAAGTTCTTGACGGTGTTGGATTTATCGGAGGCCCCGGTGTGCTTTTCCAGTTCCGCAATAATCTGTGACTTGTCGGTATCGGAGAGGGTGGGAGCGGCGAGAATTTGGGGAAGTTTGGCGTCGGATTTGAAGATCTGTTCCAGACTGCTGAGAGCCTTGGCCGTTGGCTCTAAAGAGCCCTGTTTAGCAGCCGCCGTATACTGTTAAGAATAGGAGTGTCAGCTTAAATTCCCTCAACAAGTCGTTCCGGAATTGCTGATCTTTTGGCCTGTATCGAAACCGTGATTCTCAACAGCTGTGCCCAGATCCAGAGTCCGTCTTTTGCTTGGAAAATGTTCGACTGATCATACCAGAGCACTCGCATAAGTCCCGTCGAGTCCAAACAAGGGCACTGGGGGTTTCGTGTCTGCGGCGGCCGGAGCTGCGTATGTTCGGACAGCTGTTCTGGGGACTGTGCGACGGGCAGCGGCGAAAGCTGGCCGCATCAGCTTGGAGGCCATCATCTTGCCGGCGGGAGGGACGATACAAAGTTGTTAACCTGCAAAGGAACGGACAGAAGTCGAAGAGCGGAGAGTGAGGGCGAGCTCAGTGGACTTGCTGGAGCTTTTGGATTGAGTCGATGAGGTTTGCAAAGGAAGCTCGTCAATCACAGTATGGCACTAGTCCTAATGGGGAAACGAGGGACTGGGCAAGATTATCCTCAATATCAATATCATTCAACCACTGCCTCTTCAACATTCATCTAATGAATGCCATTTACCCCCAGAAAAGAGATGTTTTCATTCAAGCAGTCTATTTTCCATAGGTGATGACCTGAATCCAAACCCCAAACGCCTCAACGCTACCACGCCAACGCTCGAAACACCAAGCACGATCATTTCGTGATGAGTCCATCTCAATTTTGCAGCTACGGAGCGATTGCAAGGCACTCGCAGCTTCAAACATACGGTGCAAACTCCCAGCTTGCCACATCGTCTTCAATCGTGAAGCGCAGTCCCTTGACATCGATTTCTTCATACATGCTGGAAATGGCAGCTCGAGCTTGTTTGTGCCACGGCCCTCGGCCACCATTGACCGCATCATCCTTATTGCGCCAAAAACCTAGAGACCGATTAGCCGCGTCTAATTTAGGAATCGTCGTGTCGACTCACAGGTGGCCAGATTTCTCCTATCATTGTCAGGAACCCCGTACCAATACTTGAGAAGCCCTCCACTTTGTGTAGCCTCGATGTGGGATTCTTTGTCCAGTTTGAACAAGAGATCCACGTCAATATTTTTCTTGAGTCTCGACCGGAATTCAACCACGTAGAACTCTTGACGCGTCCACCTGTAACCCTCCTTGGTAGCCAGTGACTTTAGTGTTTCCATGAGACTGGTCCAATCCAAAGCATCTTCGTAGGGGACCGTGGCATATTTCCCTGACGCTGGCTCTAGTTGTGTCGCTGCAAGGGCAAGAAGGCGATTTGGAGTGTCGACACTGTTCAAATCCAGAAGATGTTCTTGCTCAAGATATGGCGACACTGTTAGCCAGCGGGTGGATTTTGGGTTGAGATGGACCTCTGCTGGACTGTATTGTTCAACAGTGACCTGAACAGGGAGTCCTTGAATCTTAGTCGAAACATGGGCGTCGTGCGCGCCTAGATTAATGTCCTCGTTTCCCCCTGTTTTTAGTCTGGGCTGGGTGGCTGCCATTTGGTGATGGATCAAAACTCCCTTCGCCAACGTGCGAATGTCGTTGACGAGAACAAGAATATCGTGATAATTGCTGCCGTGTAAGATGAATCAACGTAGGAAAGGGTTTTTCTAGAAAAAAAATGAGTGGAATGCCCGAACGTTGTCCTGGGGTTGGAATTGTGTGCAATGCGGAACTGATCACGCAATTGAGGCTTATGGCAGAGGAAGGAACCACCACCGTGTAGTGAGTGTAGAGTCAAAAGAAACAGAGCAGGAACACAACGGATGAGTATAAGGCGGTCAGAGGGGCCAGGAAAAAGCCATTGACTTAGTAGAGGCCATCTGCAGGAGGATGCACTCTGCCGCAGGACTCCAGCGGCGGTTCTGGCTGACTTCCACGTGTACAGCGCATTGCCGTGTCCTGCCGCAAGTCTCAGAGTCCTTGGACAGCATCTTTGTTTGCCCACGTATCTGGCAAAGCATGGAATGACAAACAGCACGCATGGAGGCGCCAAAACACTGTGCCGACAACAGACACGACTGGACTGCCAGAGGAAACTGTCATTTTGTTTCCTAATCGAGGCAAAAAATCACGGGGTCATCGAGTTTGATCAGAGCTTTGCTGATAGCGGAATGGTGGCCAGGTAGCCTGCGATTTGGCTTGTTGGTGATAGTCCACGAGACAGATAAAGAGAAGACTGGTAGCGTCCATCGATATCGAAGGGGGATTTTATCCATTATATACCGAGCAAGACCGAGTATGGGGTGGTGATGCCGTGATCATGCCTATCTTAGGCTGGAGTTTGTGGCCGTTGGCAGGGGTCGCCACAGGTCGCTTATCATCCACGCCATCCCACCCAAATCAGAAGCTGAGGACCCTAAGGAGTAGGTGCCTATCTTTTAGCAAGGTGCGGCAGTTGAATGTGGTCTACCCCACGATGCAGAGGATGATGGGTGATTGGTGGGTGTCAGTGGCGCCAGGAGGAAGTGGGATCGGAGTTGTGGTTGTGGTGGTGGTGCTGCTGCTTGTTGGCGTTGGAGACGCAGTTTAGATTTTGCAGGGCGAAGGTGGAAAAAATGTCACCGACAAATTCAATCGCCCTCACCCACTTCATCTTTCTCTCACCACCAAACCACCAACTCACAAGTGTCTAACTCTACTTCCTCTCAAATCCCCCTCATCAATCCGACATCATGAGTGGTGCTCCTGCCCAGAAATTCAAGGTCGCCGACATCTCGTTGGCGGCCTTTGGTCGTCGTGAGATCGATCTCGCAGAAATTGAGATGCCAGGTCTGATGGCTATCAGAAAGAAGTATGCCGCCGACCAACCTCTTGCTGGTGCCCGAATTGCGGGCTGCCTCCACATGACCATCCAAACCGCCGTCCTCATCGAAACCCTCAAAGCGCTTGGTGCTGAGGTCACCTGGTCCTCCTGCAACATCTTCTCCACCCAAGATCATGCTGCCGCAGCTATTGCAGCTGGAGGCACTCCTGTCTTCGCGTGGAAGGGCGAGACTGAAGAGGAATATGAATGGTGTCTGGAGCAACAACTCAAGGCCTTCCCTTCTGGAAAGACACTAAATCTCATCCTCGACGATGGAGGTGATCTGACCGCCCTTGTCCACAACAAATATCCCGAGATGTTGAAAGACTGCTACGGTGTGTCAGAAGAGACCACAACTGGAGTTCACCACCTCTACCGCATGCTGAAGGGCAAGAAACTCTTGGTCCCTGCCATCAATGTCAACGACAGCGTCACGAAATCAAAGTTTGACAACCTTTACGGGTGCAGAGAATCTCTCGTTGACGGCATCAAACGTGCCACAGATGTCATGATCGCAGGCAAGATTGCCGTTGTGGCTGGCTACGGTGATGTTGGCAAAGGTTGCGCTCAGGCTCTCCACAGCATGGGTGCCCGTGTTCTCGTCACCGAGGTGGATCCCATCAACGCTCTCCAGGCTGCTGTCTCTGGTTACCAGGTTGTCACCATGGACGAGGTTGCTTCGCAGGGTCAGATCTTTGTTACTACCACCGGCTGCCGTGACATCATCGTCGGAAAACATTTCGAGGCGATGCGCAACGATGCCATTGTCTGCAACATTGGCCACTTCGACATTGAAATCGATGTCGCCTGGCTGAAGAAGAACGCCAAGTCTGTCCAAAACATCAAGCCTCAGGTCGATCGCTACACGATGGCTAGTGGGCGTAACATCATCCTGCTCGCCGAGGGCCGTCTTGTCAACCTGGGCTGTGCCACCGGTCACTCTTCCTTTGTCATGTCCTGCTCCTTCTCCAACCAAGTTCTGGCTCAGATCATGCTGTACAAGGCTGAAGACGAGGCATTTGGCAAGAAATACGTCGAGTTCGGAAAGACCGGCAAGAAAGAGGTTGGCGTCTACGTTCTTCCCAAGATCTTGGACGAGCAGGTCGCACTACTCCACTTGGACCATGTCAACGCCAAGTTGACCAAGTTGACTTCTGTCCAGGCAGAATACTTGGGATTGCCCGTTGAAGGTCCCTTCAAGTCTGATATCTACCGCTACTAGACGGTTTGATGTCTGTCGAGGGTTTCCCCAATGGTTTTTGAATGGTTGCATGTGTAACGGCGTCCGAGGGGTTTGATTACATTTTTTTCGGGAGAGAAGGTTTTCTAATGCTCAACGCATAGAAATGGAGAATCCAACGGCATGGTCCTATTATCGTCCTTGTCCAAACGGATCTTACGCACGAAACTCAACGACCCTGGGATGAGATTGATGAGGCAAGAAAAAGTTTGGGACAAGATCAGACCCCTTTGAAATATTGGGGCATTTTCGACTCCTTTGTTTTGAGAGTGCTGGTGCGAGAAAACTAGGGGAAGGAAATCTCGGAATTGAGATCAGACGGAGAGAGAGAAGGAGACGTCCTTCAACGGACACGCGCAGAAGCTTCATCAGCTTCTTCAACAGATAGATACCCCGAATAGATGCTCAGAGAATCAAGAGAATATGAGATGGCGGCAATGGAACGAACGCGGCGTCATAATTCAGCATTGTTGCCGCCACCCAGATTTCCCTGCATTTGTATACTACACACGGAGTGTTTTGCCTGTGTAGATGTACATGTTGCTCTCCACTTTCTGAATGCTGAATGAGGTGCTGGGGATCTTCGACACTGGCCCAGATACAGGTAATGATCCGGTCGTTCTATCTACCGCGACAAGTAGGCCATCCATCTTTGTTGTTATAACTATAGTAAAGCTATGGATAAGACGAGATATGCGACAGCCAGATCAGTTCTATCAGCCTGCCCGACGGTGGGCTGTCTTCATGTGCCATTCATCCACAGGACGGGGTACAGAGGCGGAAGTTCCGTCCTCCAGTAAACGCCCTTCAGTATACACCCTCCAGGTTTTTGCCCGTATACAAATGCCATCCTACCATATACTCGTCTTCATTGTATTTTGTCGTCCGAAACAGCTTGCTCCTCGACTGCCGTTTTTATTTTGGAATGTCTCATGCTCCTTAGCCAGCTCTTATATTCATGACTTGAACCAATGAACGTTCATGCACTCGCGCACCTGACTCGAACTAGTACACTAGTATACTAGTCTAACTGTTCCTAGCGGTGCTAATGCTCTTCGTCACTAACGGAATGCTTACTAACCTGAAGTTCAACTCGCACTTGGGTGGCACTACTTGGTCGAGGCAAACACAATGCAAGGCCAGTTCAGCCCAGCGAGGCGGCATTGCTGCGGTCCCTGGTCAAGGCCGGGCAATTGCATTGCATGCACGAGAGGCTGAGCGTCTACGGAATCTCCTTCGCGGACAGTGTTCCTAGCGCATTCCGAGCAGCAGTGAGCCTCACGCGCTCGCGAAAGCCATGGTCGGGGGGCTGTGAAATTCTCCCATTTTCACCCAGAGGTGCAGCCTCATTCATATACATATGTGAAGTCCTCGCCCACAGGCATCTTGAAGCAGATACGTCTCTGACCACCAATTTCGCGCCAATGTCGTCTCAGGCTCACAGAAACCAATGGGACCTCGACGAGCCTGATTTGGAGCGACAAGGGGGGAAGTCTCAAGTTATCTCGATCGGCAGCAGATTGATTGTCTGGTTTCGACTCCTAGCAAAGCGAGCCAGGAACGATGCACCACCCGAAGACATGGATATAACTTCGCCGGACAGCGCCACACGACCGTCGGCTCTGAGCATTCGTCTCAAAAATCGAAGAACAAAACAGTGCTGCTTTTTATGCATGAGGAACAGAGACGGCGCTTTTGCCATTGCTGTACCCTGCGTCAAACCGATTCAATACGGCCGATCCTTTGCCACTCGTGTAATCTTCGAAGATGATGCACAAGAACCAAATGTTGGTGATGCAGGATTGGAAGAGGCCCACACGGAGAGCGACACTGCAGACGAGACAGACGAGAGTGACGCTGCAGTTTTCGAGAGGCTACGAAAAGAATGTCTGAAGCAACAGGGTTCTTGGAAGAAGTGGCTTCCATACTACGGAATTACCAAGGTTGAAGAAGTAAAAGTGCGTCCCTTACATAAACGTGATCATCATGCTTTGGTCTTACTTTCGGCTCTACAGTTTGAAGTTACTGGAGTGGTCCAGAAGGACAAGGTATTCTCAGTCATTGTGGACCCTTCGGACTTGAAAAAGATCGAGGACCAGCTAGATGGCATTATCTCCATGGCCGCAAGCGTCGTTAATCATGAAGATACCTTCGGCGACATCTGTTGCAGGCACGACCACTATAACCACCACAGTAGTTACTGTACCGATATAATGGATGCTTCTGAGGACTGGAAGTGCGTCAAAGACCGCATTTGCGATGCCAGGCTTCGCAAGAAGAACCTTCGAATGTTCGATATCCTAACAAAGTGTGGACGGGACCCTCAGAAGGCGAATGGACTGCGACTCCTTGAAGGAATGGCCGGGCCGAAATGGATATACGAAGTCAAGTAAGTCTGTTACGGCTACTTGGAGGGCGGTGCTACTTTGGGAACCTGCTAAGTCCTTTTTTTTGGTTATTTACAGTGGACTACACAGTGTCATGAGATCTCTTGACGATCAGCCATTTGACTGGACCAACGAGTTTGGAGGCTTGATGTACACGATGGGATGGCAAACGGATCGGCTGAAACATGAACTGGCACCCCGAGCCGCTTGGTGTTGGCTGGTGTTCGCGGTTGTGTGGCTTTGTGTCGCACTGTGGGGTGGTCTGGGAGGACATTGGAATATGTCGTTCGCTTTCGGGCAGCTCGTTGTTGCCAGTGTTGTACTTCTCGCTGTCCCGCACTAGATCCGGGGCTTCAAGGCGTGATATTCTGTAGCAGGGGGATTTCTGAGAAGTCGGCGCCCAATTTTCATGACTATTAGAGCAATCAGAGGTGGCCAAAGGTGTCTTTCTCCATCAAGCACCCGTATTCCACGATGATGATGATGATGCATCTTGAGACGTTGGATGCTGGGATGAGCTCTCCTGGCAACATCTTTCGTTGTTATCCAGGAGCTTGTTTTCATTCTTGCAGAGAAATGCCCATTTGCGAATTTCACCGATAAAGATCTCTCCGACAGCCTAGGGGTGTTGTTTTTCAGATGATATCTTGGAGCATGAGATATATCTCATCTGTCTCCTGTCTCGAGGCGAGGCCGACGAGGCTGCGGTCTCACTGCCAATCAAGCATAATCATTAACCTTAAAACCCAAACATTCATTATGATTGGTTCTGCCTTTTGCACCCAATATCCCTCGTTTGTCTGCCTACAAGTAAAATCACCACTCAGCCCAACCAGCAGATTCACTCTGCTTGCCGGTGCCCTCTCAGAATACTTTTCTTAGAAATCTCACCACTCTTCTCACTCTGCACAATACGTCCCGACGCCGCAGTTCTGACCACGGCGGTATGGTGCAAGCACAGCAAATACGCTTCAGTTGACGGGATCATCGTCTGATGCCTGACAGAGTCAATGCGCACCAGCTTCTTTCTCCGGACGTTACGCCGTCGAATCACAGTAGAGACTGGTAGACTCGACTCTACCACCTGGACAGCCTCATCAAGGTTCGCTCGCAACATGACTTCCACGACGCCACTGCCAAAACCTCTGCCCGAACAAGAGCACCCGCGAGATCAACCGACTCACCCAGCATCTACGCCACAGGGCTCGGCAGTTCCGAAGACGATACCTCTAGAAAAGCGAGGCACAAAGTTCCCGCAAAATAACCGTCCCACCCACTTTGTCTGTTTCCCGCTTGTCAGCGACGAATCAGTCTCCCAGCTCTCCAGATCCCTGGCACACTTCAGATCGCTCACCACGCCTTTACCTTCTACAGAGCGTGGTGCTGCTCCCGAGAGAGATGGCGAGGGACAGGAGCTTGACCCTAACTCCACGGCACCAGAGCAAGCCGGGAACGAAACACAGGGTCGAGATGCCGATCAGGCATTGAGAATCATTCCCGAGTCGGCGCATCGCCCGCCTGGGACGTTTCATTTGACTCTCGGGGTCATGCACCTCCCCAGCGCGGATGATCTGGAAAATGCCGTGGCCGTGCTTCAGCAGATTGATTACCTGGATTTGCTCAGGCGAGCAGAGCTCGGTGGAGGAGACAAATCTGGGCGGGGGAGGAATCAGAAACGGCCAAAAAGCGAAGCCGTTGACACAGCTGGAGAAATCCCATCGTCCTCAATAGTACAGACGCAGGAAGAAAGTCAGTCGGTCAGAGCTAAAGATGCAGACCACGAACCCGAAGAGAAGGGCAGCCTGCATGAGACAGCAAAAGAAGTCGGCGCAGCACTGTCTTCACCACTCCAAACAATCCAATCCCTAACGAGAGAAATCTCACCACCACGCGTCTCTGCACCTTCACTATCCTCCCCATATGAATCTAGAGCTCCAGACACTCAGCCACCACCGATAACCATCTCCCTGACCTCCCTAGGCACGTTCCCCTCTACCCGCTCCGCCCGGGTTTTCTACGCACACCCTCATGACCCCACGGGCCGTCTACAGAGGTTTGGAAACATGGTCCGTGACATCTTCCGAGACGCGGGCCTCATCGCCGAGACGCGACCTTTGGTTCTGCACGCTACAGTCGCGAATCTGATATACGTGAAGGGTAAGGGGAGAGGGAGGGGCCGGAGCGGGGGCGGGAAATGGAAAGGAAAGAGTCGAGGTGGAGACGACGGGAATGTCGACGCACGGGGGCTTTTGAGGCTGTTCAACCAGGGACGAGACACCGTTACAGATGCTGGGAGTCGTCTGGAAGGGGCACCGACAACCTCAGAGCCTTCAGATCAGCCGGTGGCGGCGCCCTTCATCTGGGCCGAGAATATCTCGATCCGTAGCATCCGCATCTGCAAAATGGGCGCTGTACCCTCGGCCACTCCGGGCTGGGGGCTCGAGTACCCTCCCGTCGCGGAGAAGGTATTTCAAGACTGAGATGAGACTCTAAAGTCTCTGAAGAAGACGGAGGAGAAGGAGGAGGAGGAGGAGGAGGAGGAGAAGCGCGATCTACATGAATGATCAAGCCCACCGATGAAGAAGTATGGTCTTTCCCTCCGGTTAGAGTTAGTTGCTCGAGAGGAGATTCAGTCTCCGTAGTTTTAGATTAAGATGAACTCGGTTGTTCTACATTAGGTGTGGTCACATCGGAAAAAGGAGAATGGAGGAGACGGGAAGGGGAAGGACAAGGGTTCACAACCAGGTTCCTACAGGATATACGTGTCAAACAGACTATGTTTCCCTCAGTCAGGGAACAAGCTATACGTAGATCCCATGTGGGATATACGAGCATTACTCAGTGATCAAGAATCGAAGCGGACATTTATTTAGGCACAAAGACGTGTACAAGTGCGTATGTATACTTTTTGGGCATTTTCCCGATACCGACTCAGAGAGCAGAAGTTGAGGACAGCTTGTTATACGTTTCAGACGTTGACTATCGTGTATGCTCAATATGTAGAGCTCAGACGAGTTCTGCCTCATATGCATGTGCTCCTCTGTAGGTAGATAGCAACGTATTCGTTGTTCATTGGTTTTTTCTGTTCCGATTGTCTTCCCTACTCGTGGATCGTCTTTGAGGCACGACACGGCACGGAGACCGTCTGTCTAATTGTCTGTCCGACTGACTGACTGACTGACTGACTGACTGACTGACTGACTGACTGGGTATCTGAGCGGCGATCCTAGATACCACAAGAAAGTCGGGATTGATTTCCAACTGTAATTAAAACCGACCTGATTACTGGCCCAAGTCCAAAGTCCAGATTACATTATGTTCTTTCTCAGGCGATCTCCTTTGAGAGTGACCGGCTGTGTCATTCTTCTTCCTCTCCTTCTCTGCGTCCACACTGTGTGGCGTTGGTATTCTCAAACACCCCATCGCGCCCTGCAAAAGGCGTGTGGACGAGGTGCACAGTCGTTGCTGCTGCATCCGCTCCTCTCCTCAGCGCTGATACCCTAAAGTCTCCGTCTCGTTCGATCTGTACCCAGGTCCGGTCTCCCGCATAGAAGAAGCCAGAGAACCCGTGTCCCCGTACTTGGACTTGGACTTGGCTGGAGATTGAGATGGCAGCACAATCCAAACCGACCCAGTCTGCGCGAGACATTTGAGAACAGTATGCCTTTGCGGGGACGGGGCGATTTCGACGGAAAATTTTCCGTAGCTCAATGGAGCGAATCCTCACGTCCCCAAGTGGGGTGGGATAAAACGACACTTGAAGCCCTTTTCTCCAGAATTTTGGAGGGAGCGCAACATGAACATGAACATGTCCCGTCACGGTGCAGGCCGGATGAGGTATCAGTATCGTCCCAGAAAGTGCTGGTGGATGTAAGTGGTTATGGTCCGGTGGTTTCCTCCCAAAATCTTTCAAGGTCGAGGTAGTGAAGATCATCGATGGAGGAAGAAATCCGCAAGCCTCAGAACTACCACGGGCTCAGCGTCCCGATGGGTATCGCTCAGTAGTGACTGGATTGCGAGAATGAATGATGCGACGCCGTGGGTGCGCCAGATGCGCGCGTTTCTCACTTCTCTTCTTTCTCTTTCCCTTCCTCCTCTTCCTCCTTCCCCTTCCCCTTCTCCTCCTCCTCTTCGTCCGAACCCTCCTCTTCGTCGTCAACCAAATCCTCCAGATCAAAAATAACCCTCACCATCAAACTACAGCTCGGACAGACGGCGACGTCCTCGCCCTCTCTCAGACTGCCGAGAGAAATCTCGAATCGGTCGCCACAAGGGCACGGGTAGTGGTAAATCTGCAGGGTCGGGTCGTAGGTCATGTCCTCGATCTCGATTTCGTCGTACATGTCGAGGTCTTCGGCATCTTTGGCAGAGGCGCCGGAAGAGCCGGTGAGGTTGAGGGTGGTGAGCGAGGAGGCGGCGGCGGTGGTTGTGGTTGAGGGCATGTTGAACAGTAATATTGGCAAAGAGGATGGCGGGTGTAGGAAAGACAGACCAGGCGAGAGAGGTCAATGACAAGGGCGGGTTTTAAGGAGACGGGAGACAGGAGAACGAGAACTAGACCGAGTTCTGAGGTGGTAGTTTTGCAGTTTGAGGTCTGGGAAATGTAGGTAGTCTGCCTGTCTGTCCGGGCGAGCCGAGTCTGAAATGTTAGGACTATGACTAGCACTGCAGATTCTCGAAGGGATCAAGGGATCAAGAGATCAAGAGATACCGCAGCCGGCCTATGGGCTGCTTGCTAGAAGGTAGGTAGTTAAGGTAGGTAGTTGGATACGACACACCTGCGAGGAAAGAATCTGGTGCTTTTGTCTAGATGAGTGAATCGCCACAGTCACTCACTATTCGACCAAAAAAAAAGTACGGCGCAAAAGGCTGCGGGGAATGAAAAATTGCGGGGAAAGTATTTTGCAAGTGCACAATCGAAGATATGGGTCACGAAATCTCTATCAAAAAAGATTGTGGAAGAAACAACGGGGTAGGTTCGTTTGTAAGGCAATGTCAATGTCGATGTCGTAGTTTTTATGCCCATTCACTCGCCTAGGTTATTTCGAAAAAGAGACTTCATTCTTCACAACCATCCGTCCATCCATCCGTGGCATGGCGTGCGTGCATGCAAACGAGATTTCTAGGAAAAGCTTTCTCCCTGCCAGAAGTACGTCCGCGAATCCCTTCTCTGCAAGGTCGAAATTCGCATCCATACTCGGAGTCATGCTCAAGGCTTTTTGACAGAGGTTCCCATTTCAAATCAGGTAAATCAGGACTAGACCCATTGCAAAGAGCCTAAAAAGTCCGTGGTCATCATCTGCAGCAAATTCTCCTCAACTTTTCCTTTTCGCCGCTCAAGAAACTTTGATACCCATGTCGTGAACACGCAGCCCATGCGATCCATGCCCGAACACAAACCTGTCGTGTCAACCATTGTGTCAAGAAGTCCCAGCAGACCTCCTTCAGCGGTATCTCCAGAGCGAGAGGGTGTTGTGTCTCTTCCATGTCTTTCTCCGTCCCGAAGTGGTCTTGGTGTACCCGTGTCCCTTGCCCAAACCGCGAGATTTCTTTCCGGTGGCGGTGAGACCTCGGGATTCGCGGTGCTAGTTTCCCCCAAAAGTCAGCCGACAAGAGTCATTGAACTGGACGAATGTCCCCATCAAGGGAAGAGATATGTAAGAGTCACTCACCTTGTGAACGGCGTTCACAATCCAGTTGATCCGGGGGTCACGGCGGATGGCCTTGTGGCTAGGGTCCACGAGAATGACTTCGTAGTACTTGTAGGTCGAGTCCTGGTTGATCCAGTACGAGTTGAGGACGCGGAGGTTGGCGCAGCGGCGACCGACTCGCTCTTCGGCCGTGGAGCGCAGGGATCGTTGGTACTTGAGTTGATTCACACCCTGGTTGGTGGGTTTGCCTACATGATTGATGTCCTTCCGTCAGAATTTGCTGCTCTCCGAAAACGATTGCATGGTCCTGGCTCTGCAGAACCTGGACGGTAGCCTCTTCACTCACCATATGTAGCACCCTTGGGCACTGGCCGCTTGCGACCACCGCGGCGCACACGAATGCGGTAGATGACATAGCCTTGCTTGGCCTTGTATCCCAAGCGACGGGCCTTGTCAGGTCGAGAGGGACGGGAGGCGCGGTGGATGACATTCAATTGTCGGAGCTATATTTTGCACTCTCAGCTCACATGTTCAACGAGTGTATAGCAAGACACATCTCTGAAATGAGATTGTGCCACAAGAGAATGGAAAACAGCCCAAAGAGGTCGGTGGTGTATCTTTTTTTTCTCTCCCCAAGACCTCTTGTCTGTTCCATTGTCATCTCGGGGAGTCTCTTACCTCCCAGCAGCGGACTCGGAGAAGGAATCGAAGGACATCGGACTGCTTCTTCTTCTGAAGTTCTTCGACGTATTTGAGGGCACCCATCTGAGAGTATTCGTTAGCTATTGATATCGCTGACCATGGAAAACCTATTACCTTTACTGTTGCGCCTCGCAAACGGACGGTTGTGGTGAAAAAGAGACCGGCTGGAAATTGAGAATTGAGCACGAGGTACTAGGTTGGCTCTCATTTTCGACGGCAAAGTTTCGTGCGCAGGCTTGGCAAAGCTGTAATCTTGGCATTCACATCCGCCAATCAGTGGTCGACTTCGGTACTACCCTAGTACCCATCACTTCCTCCATGTACGATGCCATACAAGCAACTCTGCTCTTTGATAATTACACACTTGCTAGGTAATTGCTGGTAGACCTTCGTACCACAGTAGTCACAAGGTGCAGAATCAACGCTTGACCGCCTGGCCTTGTCCCGCGAAGCAAAGCCCCTCAATCGCCATCTCCGTGTCCCGGGCAATATTCCCCCATCCTGGCGTCTGCCTCGAAACAGCCTCTTTGTGATCTGCCCCATGTGACAAAAGCATCCTGCCCTTTTGTTCCTCCTCGGCTGTAATACCCTGCAGCTCCCTCACGTCGTGAAGGTCATCGGCCAGAAGTCTTTCAATCTCCATGCCTGTGACCTTCTTGCCGGCTTCGATGGTGCCCACACCAACCCTCTTGTCCTTGTCAAAGGACGTCCGGATCTCTTCAAGACGGGATGTATGGGATGGCCGGGCCGCAAGCTCGTCGTAAGCGATTATGAGGGCGCCTGATTGTTTCATGAGAGCGACCATTGCGTCGCAAAACTTCTGGCCTTCGGCTCCCAGAAATTGAACAGGAATTGGCAAAGTCAAAGATGTAGAATCCTTGGTCACGCCGCTGGCGAAGCTTCCCAATGCAGAACTGAGAAGCGGCGTAATTTCTGCATCGAATGATTGCTTGTCCAGGGCGCTGAGACCGTTAGCGGAGGTTCTCGACACAAGAGGTGATGTGAAGGCCGACTTTTTTTCCTTGATCTCCCTCAGTTTCTTGACAAGGGAGGACTCCTTTTCTTGAATCACATCCCCAAATTGTCGAGGCCACGGGTCGGCTTTCTTGAGCTTTCCCAAGATTTGG